CCGCGTCCCAGACGCGGCTGGCCTCCGCGCGCCAGTGGGGGAGATCGCCCATCTGCGACAGGCGGTCCAGGTGCACGAGGACAGCCGCGCGGATCGCAGCCGACCTGCGCCAAGCCCTGTCGCAGACCTTGTCCGCCTCGGTGATGGTGCGCTGGGTGGTGAGGGGGACGAACATGACACATGACTGCCTCCACTTCTCAGCGCCACTCTCAGGGTCTTTGGGGTTCTCAATCCACTCAGCTGCTCGTTTCTTCATTTCGTCAGCAAGCCGCCGGCGAGGCCGCTGGCTGGCTGGGGCGGCCCAGCAGAACCCGCCTGCGGAGACGCCGACGAGCCAGCCGACGCCGATGCCGAAGTCGCCGCCGCCCTTGCCCCTTGCCGAAGGTGCCCCCGCCCCCGGGGAGACGTGTCCTGGGCCGTGCGGGGCGTCGTCGCGACGCTGGCTCCCGCCGCCGCCGCCAGAGGGCGGCAGCTGGCAGGGGCGCCGCCCTCCCCGCTGCCGCCTTGGGGGCAGCAGCTGGCGAGGGCGCCCGCGGCGGAGGCCGCCGCGGCAGCGTCGCCCGCCCACGCAGCTGAGTGGGGGGGCGCCGAAGCAGCGTCGCGCGCCTTCGCAGAAGTGCTTGCGTGGCGGAAAGAGACAATCTGACTGCTCCATACCAAACCAAAGCAATCATCGCTGCATGATCCATGGTAGTGCTGCCCCCTCTTCTGAAGGGGCCTTGGCCTTAGGTGGAGGCCCGCCAGGGCGCTGCTTACCAGGGGCGGGGGGAGCAGCTGCAACCCTCACATCAGCAGAGGGCCTCGCCACTGGATCAGCTATCGAGGCAGATCGTTCCAGACGCTCGCGGGCCGCTTGGACCTCGGACGCTCGAGCCGCAGCAGCTGGGTTAGGCTGCTCTGGCGGCTCCGGGGCCGCAGCTGGGGCCTTGCCGCTCCCCCCCCGCCGTCGTCAGGGGGGGCCGCGCCGCCGCTGCCAGCCGCCGCTGACTGCGCGGGGGCAGCAGGGCTGCCCGCAGGGGCCGACGCAGCCTCTGGCCCACTGGCTGCATCTTCAGTGCGCCGCCTCATGAGCGGAGCCTGGGCCGCCGCCACAGTGACCCCCTCGAGCGCCACCTGGGCGGCCTGGATGACCGCCTTGGCCTGGGCATTGGCTTCGTCCATGGCCGCGAGAGCCGCTGAAGCTTCGTTTTAGCCTCCCCGTCCTCATACTCGTCCACCGAGATGCTCTTGGGCTTCTCGTCGAACGCCGCCAGGGGATCAGGTTCTGAGCTCTCTTGCTGGGGCTCAGGTGCAGTCGGGGAGCGATGCCTGTTGTAGGCCAGCACCGCCGCCTCGTGGGCCTCCTCCGCGTCCACGAGCTCCTCCATGGCCTGGTCGTAGTCGTTTCGTGCCTTCTGGAGGCGCCTCTCCAGGTTGCCGATCTCCGAAAGAAGGTTGTGTGCGTTCGAAGCATTGGCCTCCGTCGACGGGATCTGCTCCAAGGGCGAACGCGACTTCGGCAACGCTGGCGTCTCCACTGCCTGCTTGATAGCCAAGATGGGTGCCGTAACCGAGGGCTCGTGTTGCGCGAGGGCCTCAAGCTGGTTGAAGAGCTTCGCCTTACCCCAAGGGGTGAAGATCGCAGGCGATGAAGCGGCAGGTACAGAACCTCCTTGCCACTTCGGTGGTCCTCCCGTGAGTTTGTCCTTATCCTTTTCTTCTTCGGGGAGTACAACTGCTGCGCCTGACCACACACCGAGCGAACTCCGCCATTCTTGATGCTGCGCCAAGTCCAAACCCATTACTGGCCAGCACGGCAGGACGGGGTCGGGCACATCGTGTAGTTCGTGCGATTCTGCTGCGGCACCATGGCAGGCACTGATGTGTAGGAGAAGGGGCTTGTACCGTCGCGCTGCTAGCGACGGGATTGGGATCCCCTGAAATCACTGTCGGGCTGAGCAGCCCTGGCACTGGCCGCGGACTAGCGGTATCCACGTGTTCCCCTGTGGAACAAAGCATCTTGAGCCAAAGTGGCTACGGAGAGGAGGGGAGGGGAGGGAGGAGGAAGGATGATGAAGGAGGAGGAGGGATGATGGAGGAGGAGGAGGAGGAGGAGGATGAGGAGGAGGAGGAGGAAGAGGAGGAGGAGGAGGAGGAGGAGGAGGAGGAGGAGGAGGAGGAGGAGGAGGGGGAAAAGGAGGGTGATGAACGTTGGCGACTTTTCTGACCTCTGGAGTTCTGTCGAGTATGTTTGGTTGCTCCTAGACGCCCTGGCCACGAGAATGGCCTACCGAACATGGTCCAAGGAGCAGGTCGTTGAGGCCGTCGTAGTCGACGGCGTTGTAGCTCTCGACTCCTTCCCGGGGTCTCATTTTTCCATCTGGGATTTGATGCGTGAAGGCTGTGGGGTCCCGAGACGGGCTTCAATGCAGGGGCTCGAAATCCAGGAGAAGCGATCAGTCTCTCCACCCTGCCCGGGGCCGAGGGCTCTGCAGCGCTCTGGAGCCTGGAGCGGCAGCGCGCCCGATGCGGGCGCGCCGGTTCTCGGCGCCTGCGGGCCATTTCCGCCTGACATCAGGGGGTGCGCCCAGGGGGGAGTCGCCTCAAGGGGGGGTGAGGGAGCGAGCCCAGCTGGATGCTCCCAGTTTCCTCCTCCAGGGGCCGTTTGGAGCGTTCTTTCTCTAGCCCCACTCCTGCCCCGGCCGCACCCGTGCGTCCCGCCGACGATTCTGTCTTCATCTTCTTTACTTGTGCCCCTGCTCCCGGCAGCGGTCGTTGTCGCGAACAGCTTGCAAGCGAGCTTCGCGAGGGGCAACCAAAGCATGGGCAGGCTGGGTACTGTATCCTCCTGCCCCTGCTCCGCCCGCTGCTGCTGCTGGTGCTCCAGGGGGTCTCGGAGGTCTCCTGTCGGCAGAAACCAGACATACAATGAACGCGCACAGCAAAAGTGAGGATTTTTCCAAGGCTGCCCTTGCATCCTTGCCCCTTCGGCCCATCCTTGGCAACTCTCGCTCGCCAACCCCGTTCGATCAGCGTTGATATGGCCTGCGAAGGTGATCGTTTTTTATTCATTGTGTTGCCGATCGGCGCGGGCCCTCGTACCCCCTCCCCTCCCCCCCCTCTTGGAGTAGATCTTGGCTGTTTTTTGGCGCCTGTTTCGAGCGGGTGGAGTCCCCCCAGAGGCAGCACTCTTGCAAACAGTCGCACTAAGCAGAGGTTCAGAGCCAGACCCCTCCCCTCTCCCCCCCCTTCCGCCCAATGTCGAAACGCCGAATAAACAAGACGCTCCCCCTCCTTCCCGCGCATCCTGAGTCTGCGTTTTGAATGTGCAGTCCAGGCGGTGAACTAGTGGCCACTGAGGGTTTCAGGATGGTCTCCGGCTTTCCGGCCGTGCTTGGGACCCGGGTCGGGGGACCTCTCAGTGGCCCAGACTCTCTGTGGCCAGAAGAGCCCCTTCGTTCCTGATGCAGCGTTGCATATGTCGGCACTATGATTGTACCACACCAGAGGAAAATCCCAAGCAGTGGATGGTTTGAAATGGGATCGATCCAGATATCGATAAGGAGATCGACCGGGAACCCAGGAGCCAGGGAACCCGGAGCTCACCGAAATCGGCCCGGAGCCAATGACAAGGAACCCGGGAACCCAGAACCAGGAACCTGGGAACCCAGCTGGCTAGCAAAATCGGCGGGAATTGTTTGCCAAGTTTTTCAATCTCCGCTAGGACCCCTTCAGTGCAAGCACAGATTGGGGAACTATGTGCACGTGCACACCCAACATTCTTCTGGTATCAGCGCTTTTGCCGCTGTTTTCTGGCCATGGCCGCATAGGCAGCTTTGCAGCATCACATCCGTGGCGGAGCTCTCGACTCCTTCTATGGTTGGATCGTTGTTTCACCACGCGACCGTCGTTTGACGGTCCCTTCGTCCACATGTTTTGTCAGGAGGCAGTGTTAGGGGGAGATAGGTCAGGGGGTGATGCATTGACCCCCCAATCGCCGATGGGGACCCGATCGCCCCACCCCGCGCATGGACGTGCAGATTGGTTATCGGGGGCCTGTCGCCGATCTATCGGCTATGCATTGCCGATTCCAAGCCGATGCTTCCTCCTCTGAGCTGGTCCCCTCCCCTATCGTTGCCTCTCAGTTTGGATCCCTGGACCTCTCCTGGACATCGAGAATTCTCCTGTTCCGCCGCTGCGACGGGCCAAGACCGCAGAGGCCCAGGGAGGGCCTAAGGCGCCCAAGCGTCTCTTCGATCCTTGAAGACCCCTGAGGGCCGAGGATCCAAGGTCCTTGGTCGAGTGAAGAGTTTAGCAACTACATATGCGTAGACTGTCGGAGATCTAGAGGAGCTCTAGAGGAGCTCTAGAGCATCCTGAACGTCGAAGAGACGACATCTGCATAAACATGAGCTGTCGGAGATGGAGATCCGCGCAGGTTTATTATTGGGTCGGCGCTGCGCCCCCCCCCCCCCCCGGCAGCGGCGCGTCAGGCATGGGGGGTCCAGCGTTGACCCACGAAGTCCGCGCGAGCCCCCGAAAGCTTATGTCCATCCAGTGCTCTGTTCTCCCAGTCGAGGATCGAGTATTTCGGTGGCGCGCCGAGAGGGCAAGTGAGAGGGGGCAGGCCTCGTCAGAAGGGGGTGGCACTGCTCAGAAGCCATCCGGCCCTCTGAGAAGCCGTCTGTGGCTTCGGAGCAGGCTCAGGAAATTTCTCAGAGGGCCGGATGCCTTCTGAGCCTTCTGAGGAGGCCCAGCTCTTGCGCCTTCTCCCATGGGTGCCGCCAACGAGTATCGTCGGGCGGGGCTAGGACGAGGATACATCCGTTCCAGAGCGTTCCCGAGCGCTCTCAGAGCGTCCCGGAAGGCTGTGAGAAGGCCGCGCGCGGCGCCCGAGACATCACCAGATCCGCAGAATCTCAGAGATTCTCGATTTATCCTTATTCGATTTTACCCGTCTTCTCTCGATTTTCGATTCTCGATTTTGGCCTGGCTTCGTCTTGTATCGTTTGGCCCCGAAGGACCTGCTCTGGTTCGACGTCACCGTCAAGGGGCCGCTCGAGACCGCGGCCGGCCTGCTCCGGGGCTCGGGCGGGGGCCTCGCGGACGATATCCAGGCGGCGGTGTCCCAGGCCCTGGCCTCCTCGTCGTCTTCATCCGAGGAGGAAGGCGAGGACGAGGACGAGGACGAATAGGAGGAGGGGGAGGACGACGTCCAGATGGCGGTGTCCCAGGCCCTTGGCCCTCGTGGTCCTGCTGCTGCCGCTGCTGTTGCTGCTGCTCCCCCCCCTCCTCGTCCTCTTCCGCCGTTTCCTCAGAATTTCTCCCGTCCTCCCGCTCCTCCTGTTCCCCCTGCTCCTTTTCCTCCTTCTGCTCATCTTCCTCTTCCTCCTGCTCCTTTTCCTCCTGCACCTCCTCCTCCTTTTCCTCCTGCTACTCGAAGGGTAAGTCCTGTTGACTCTTGCTTTACCTGCTTCACACTTTGCCCGTGGCGCTGCCGTATCAAATTAAATTGCAAGAATCCTTTTTACCACGCCCGCTGTACAGTGATTTGAAACACGACCAGCTTTACATCGGGTTGCAGAAAGGTCCCATCTTGCAGCATGTTCCTCTTAACGCATTCACTTCTGGTTGGTAGCGGAGCAGGTTCGTCCGTGCTTCAATACCACGGCCGCCGTGTCCCGCTTCGCCTCGATGGCCACGGCTCCCACTTTCCGTCGCTCTACACCGCGACGACTGCAGGAGACGTCATCCGTGGGTACGTCAGAGCTGGGGCAGTCCATCCGCCCAAACCCTATGTCGTGCCGCTCTACATGCCGCTCTACATCCCGCTCTACATCCGCATCCGCCTTCAACGTCGTCGGTTTCGTGCACCTCTCCCCGCTCACCGTGGCAAAAGACGTTGCTGTAGGGTCTGTCGGTGCATCCGCCCATCCGCCAAGACCAGTGACCGAGAACGTGCACAACCAGTGCCTCATCAAGGACAATATCACCAACATCTACAAGGACCGTTGTGCGAGGCATCCTGGTGTCAGGACAAGGCCCGCTGTGTCTCGAGAGCCCTGGGAGGAGCAGGCCGAGAAGAGGCATCCGACGACTGTCGCCGGTGCTAAGCGGGGAGGCAGTGGAATGCATGGCGACTGGGGCGCCATCGCTCCGAGACACCGCGTCTCGGGACCCGACCCTTCGCTTTGACTGCTCAGAACCGCCGGCTGGGCAGGATTGGATTCCGGTGCGCACTCTGTTGCACGATCGTGTAATTAGCGGCATTCAATGCAGTGGCCGCGCGACGTACGAAGAGCATTGCCGTGAATGTGTTGCAAGGTGCTCCGAGCGCCGCGAGCACCTCAGTGATGCGACGGAAGCAGACGCCCGATACGCTGGCGAGAAGGAACGCATCTCGGGCAAGTATCCTCGGCGATCCATGCAACGCCGCTTGAGGATCCCCGGCCTCCAACGCCTCTACGACCGTTGGGGGGCTACACCCTGGATGGAAGGCCATCGGGTCGGCGCGCGCGTCATTGCAAGATGCATTGCCTTTGTGGGCGCGGGGGTTGTCAGCGGCAGCGTGCGTCGCCTCCGCCCCTGGGGGCCCGAGAACCAAGCTCGCGCGACTTTCCAGACATGGGTGCGCGAAGTGATGATACGGTCAGTGGCGATCTCCGACCGTGGCGAATTTCGCGGGGCAGCCGGCGTCTCGTCGCGGCGCTTGACCGGCATGGCGCGCGAGTGCGTGGACGAATGGCTGCCTGCTGTTCTGGTCCAAGGCGGACTTGCCGACGGCAACCCAGTGCCACCGATGACCGCCCTAATGCGCAGCTTGGTCGAATGATGCGGCCAGCTGGGCGAGGAGGAGCTCGCCTCGGCAGCGTCGGCTCTGATGAACCTCGACCGACTGCCGCGGGGGCGCATCGGCAATCTCGTGGCGAGGTTCGACATTCTCCGTGGACGGGCGCGGCGAGCTGGGCAACTCATGATGGGGTGCGAGGGGCTCAGCTTCCGTCTGCTGCGCGCCGTCGGCGCGTCGAGCGCGCAATTTGCCGTGCCCCCGCGGCGCTGCGGCGAGGCCTGCCCCGCGAGCGCTCAGCAGCTCACCCGCGTGACGGGCCAGCTGAGACGCTTTGGGCACGCGGTGGAGGGATCGGCGCGCGCGCGCCCGCCGGGGCGCGGTTGGGGCGCTTGCTGCGCCGGGGCCGGCGCCGAGCCCCTTTGCCTGCCGAGGCCGTGTCTGGAGGCCGTGTCTGGAGGCCGAGCGCAGCGCTGCCGACGTGCGGGGCGTGCCCGGCGCGCGCCGACGCCGACGCCGACGGCTCATTCGGCGGGGAGATAGCTGCCGACGACCCCGAGCTACGCGACACGCCCGTGGAACAACGTGGCGCGCACCTCTTCTGGGATTGCGAGCGCGCCAAAGCACGATGGCGCAACTTGCGCAGCCGCGGGCCTGCGCGCCGCGTTCGGGGGTCACTGGGCGGGAGGGGAAATGGCAAGGGTAAAAGCTGCCGCGCTCTCATGGCCACCCCTGTCCGAGATCGACCTCCCGGGGCGCCTGCGTGCAGGGGCGAGGGGGGGGGGGGGGGGGGGCAGAGCCACGGCGGTGGGTTCGGGCCGCCCAGGCGGCCCTGTTGGCCTTGGCAGGGCGCGCCTCAAATGCCGCGAGTGCGACTCCGAGGAGCACCTCGCGCGCGACTGCCTCCGGCGCCGCCGGCGCTGGCGCGCTCTCTTCCTCGGCGCCTGCGCCCTGGCGCCGCTGTGCATCGTCGCCCACGCCGCTTGCCCGCGTGGGGCAGCGGGGGCTTCCGGGGCCTTCCGAGTGGCGGCCCATGCCGGGAGCTTATGCGGCCTGGATGATTAGTGGCACTTCCGGGGCTCCTCGGCGACGCGACCCGCTGCAGCAGAGCGCAGGCCTTGAGTGGCGCGCAGCCAGCTCCAGTCGCGACCGCGCCGTGGCCATCGGCGCCATGGGGCTGCTCCGAGTCCTTCGCCGGGCGGCTCGTGGCAACCCGTTGGTCGCCGCCGCTGGTCAACTTGAGCGGGGGCATCGCTGTCGTCCTCGCCCTCGCCGCGCGAAGCCGAACTGCGACGAGTGCGACGGGAGATGGCCGGCCCCGTGGGCCGCGCGCGAGCCCGCGGCGCAGGCGGCCCCGGTGACTGCGTCGCCGGGCCGTCGGGTGGCAGCGGGGGGAGCGCCGCCAGCCGCGCCGGCCGCGGGGGCGCCGGCATCTCCAGCAACCCCAGCGGCGCCACAACTTCCGACAAGGCCACAGTAGTGGACGCAAGTGGGCGGCACATTCCCATTGGGATAGACCCAGAGGCGCGACTGGAGAGGCGACCCCAACGCTCTTTTTCTTCGCCCCCGACCCAGTTTGCCGATCGACGCGTAGTCGCCGAGCTGGGCCTGCGCGCCTTCAGTCTCAGCCTTCGGCAGTAGCGCGCCGCGTGGATCGAGCTCCACTTGGCCGCCGCGGTCCGCGCCGACAGCTGCGTCTACGTCGCCGTCGGTGCCGGGCCCCCCCCAGGATTCGGCTCAGTTCAATCAGAACCGCCCCGTCGACGTGAGCCCGCCGTCCGGGAGAGTGTCCATGCGGTTCGCTGGCCGCGATGCTTGGATGTCCGGCGGCGGCCGATCTGGGCGCGACGCGCGCGCCGCCCTCGACTGCGCGCAGCGACGGCATTTCTACGAGCTCCACAGCGCACAGCTGACGCCCGAGCTCTTGCGGTTGCAAGATGGGCAGCGGCGTCAGGCCGCGCAGAGTTGGGCGGAGACACCTGTTAATCCCCCTTCGGTGCCGGTCGCTGGGCCGATTGCCCCGCCTCCCATCTGCCTCGAGGCCTTCCAGCGTGGCCGGCGCCCGTGGGTGGTGCGCCTGCTACGCCGCGCATCTGATTCCAAGCGTGCCACCTGCAACTTTTGCAGTGCGATGGCACCCGTTTGACATGCTGTCCAGCGTGCCGCGGCCATGCCGACGTCATCGCCGAGTTCCCCTGCATTGGCGTGCATCGTGCGCCGACGGTTCTGGCGCTCGTGGCATCGGCCCGCCCGGCAGCAGGCGGCGCGCTTGCGGCCCCAGCAACTGCGCTGCCGGCCCGCGCGGCGTCGTGAAGGAGCGTGCCGACGGAGATCGCGCTGCGGCAGGACCTTGCGCAGTCTCCCAGGCCGGCCCCTGCCCCTGGGGCGCCCCGGTCGTGCGGTCGCCGGGCAATGCATCCAGGTTCTTGTCCGCTGTGGGCGCTGCGGCGCCTGCCCTGCGACGCCCAGCCGGGCGCGCGCGCCGCCCCCGCGGGCCGACGTTCCCGTGGTGGCCGGCCTCGTCGGGCACAGGCTCGAATCCATCAAACGGCTCGCCGCGCTACCTGGCGAGCACCGACCTGCCGGGCGGCCAGTCTGGCGTAGTCGTCGACGCCGGCGCCTGGGCCGGCCTCTGGGGGCTGCGTTTCGCCCTGAATCTGGCGCGCAGTGCTCGGCGAGCCAGACGGCAGCCTTCCGAGGAGGGATCGCTGTGAGCAAACGACGAGATTCGCTGCTCCCTCCCAGCGACTTCCCGCGACGCCGCGGCCAGTCAGCGCAGCGCGCGCGCCCCGGCCGTGGAGGGCGCAGGTGCTGACTTTCCCGCCCTGCAACTTTGAGGCTGCGGGGTCTGGGCCCGCGCGGCCCAGCGACGGAGTGGTGGGGGCAGGCGTGGGCCGCGTGCGTTTCGCGTTTCCTTGGCCAGGCGGCCGCGAGATCTAGTGGGGCCGTAGTGCCGTCCATTTCGGCCTCGCGTCGGCGCCGAGCGGCCGCGCGCGCGCCCGTCGACGACCGCGGCGAGCTCGGGCCGCGCTCCGGGGGCCCGCCGCCCAAGCTGCTCGCGCTGCTAGCGGTGGGCAGCGACGGCGGGTTCCGACGCCGCCGACAGCCGCGAGTCTCGAAGGCTCTATCAAGCTCCAGCCGCTCTGCCCCGACGCGCGGGCACCCTCGCGGGGCGCGCCCGGGGCCGCAGGCTGCGACCCCCGCTCGTGCGCGGACGTCGGCATCGCGACCTCTGGTCGTGAACTGGCGTCGACGTGTCTGGCGGCCCTAGCGCCGCTGGGCGCCTGCCATCGCATCGCCCCCCGCTCAGGGCTCGCCCTCGGGGGTCGACGTCGCGGGCGGCGT